GTGGCCTGGGGCAACCTGGTCTAGTGGCAGGTGTCCCTGCCCATGGCAGGGGGGGTGGAACTCGATGATCTTCAAGGTCCTTTCCAACCTATATAGGGTCCTTCCCCTATATAGCAGGTCCTGTCTACATATTGGGCCTTTCGTTCCCTTCAGAAGTGAGTCGCCTGTGGCAATGACCTGTCTTTTCTTTTTAACTGAGGAGATATTGATTTGGGGGTGGTCTGACTAGACTTCAACGACACCTCCAAGCTGGGAGGATTATCATCCTCACTGTTGTCCATTTCCCCTTGTAGAGCACTCTACCTGTTCTGCAATGGCACCTGGGAAGGTGGGGTAGTCAGTGGGCAGATGCACCTGCAGTGCCTGTTGCGTTGGGCAGGAACATCTTGCCATTGCCCCGTGTCCTCCAAGTTACCCTGTTCAGTTGGACGGGGAAAGGACAGGGAGTTCACTGTAGCAAGGGCTCTGTCTGCCTGCTGGGTTTCTGTCATGGGAGAGAGGGTACAACTCCAGGCGTCTATCTCCCTCTTGCATTCCCTGATCACCCTGACTTCCGACCCTCCAACTTGGTACATAACAAAGTTAGCTGACCTTGGTTGTTATAGCAATAAGTATAAGCAAGAGCCTCTCTGCATACCCTTCCTTGGTATTAACTATAAACATCAGACCTTATCTGCTAGAAGCAGGCACTGTCTGAAAAATATGCCATTAATTTCAGAGAGTGCTGTTATTTAGAAGAGGCTTAACTGAAAAGTAAAATTACTGAAAAGAAAATTGGTTCTGTTTTACCTCAAACCAGGACACATTTTATATAATATAATACAATAAATAGAGTCATATAATCAAGTTAAAATTCAGCATATTAGTGAAACATCTGCCATGAAGGAAAGCATTTTAAGACCAGTTGTTCCAAATATGGCATGAGTTGTATTTTCCTATATAGATACATTACTTGATACATGTATTTGAATTTTTTATTTGACATTTTTCATGTTCAGTCTTAAGAAATACCTTTGAGTTTATGACTCTTCTGTCTTTTTTTTTCTTTTATCTTTTTTTTTAAACAGGAAATCGGTATGGCAACCCCCACAACTCACCAGGTCTGCTGGTCTCACCTGGCAACTTGATTAAGAATATGCAATCAAAATCTCTGCCCCCAATGACTTTGGGAATGAACAACTGTAAACCAGATCTCAGAGTGCTTATTCTACCTGGCAGCAAAAATACAATGCCATCAGTGGTAATGTACTCTCAAAGCTTTTTTTTCCCCTTTCATATAAGAAACATTTAAGAATTTCAAGGCCTGCTAAACCTACTAAAATAAATAGAAAAACATTCCATATTCTTGCTTACTTATTCTTTCTATCTGGTCTTAAGGCCTGACATTTTGCAGAGCCTATTTGATTGCTTTTATGAAGTCATTTTTACTTCTTTTTCTATTGAGTTACAAAATGGGAACTGTGTCCTGCACGGTCTAAACTTGTGAATGCTCCTCCTAGTAGCTAGAAGAGTCTTTCCTAGATTTGTTATAAAGACTGAATTCAACCCTAAGGATTATTAATACACTATATTTTTCTTAAATATTTAGCCACACAGACTCTTAGAAGATGGCAGATTAACTACAAATAAATTAATCTAAATTCTATTGCACTGATCTCCAAAGGCCAAATTTTATAATGATGAGAGGTAGTAAATAGAGCAAGACAAAATGGGGCATCAGATTCCTGTATCTCTTGCCAGGATTGAAAAAATGTAAGCAGAGTAGTATGATAGAAGGTTGAATCATTAAAGTGTCATGTGAGCATCTTTCAGTTCCCTATTAAAAGTGGTTACAAGTAAAGTTGTTGATTAGTGGTTGCAAGTAAGTCTTTGATGAGTGATTAACCATTAAAAGTGAAGTTCATTAAAAAAAAATTATGGTTAACTTAAGTGATGTTATAACCACATTTATCCATTATTTAACAGACACACTATTAAAACAACTTCCAAGTTGGCTACTTGAACTTGATACATTATAAATTAACTTTTAATATCTAACTAAACCTCCCATAAATGTGATGGTGTCTTCTAAGAGGATAAGTAATAAATAGTCTCCTACAGGGCTATACTCAAAGTCAACCAAGGCAGTGACAAGCTGCCTTCATTAAACGATTTATTTGAAGGTCCTTAAAAACTGATACTTTCCAAGGGATTCTGTGAATTGTCAGGTCTCCTGAAACCAGGTATAGCAACACTATCTGCAACCACTGCAGCTGTGGGAGAAATAATTCTAAGACAAAGAGTTGTGCTGAAAACTGCATAGATTGTGTTCACAGTTGAGACAAACATCTAATTAAAAGAACAAAGAACAGATCTGTGAACTGTTATTTTTCAAAGCTATACTCAGAAAATATTTAATTTGCTACCCCTATCAGATGAAGCTGTTCATTAGACTAGAAAATCTGCACCCTGATAAATATAAACATTCACCAATTTTTAATGCTCCTTTACTATGCTCTCAGTCTGAGGATGTTGATCTGCCTTTGGTAAGTGGTAGTGACCTTCATCTTAATAACAGGGGGGAAAAAGTTCTTTTGTCTGATTGATATTTCTGTGGAAGTGATGGTTGAAATAAAATAGAAAATTTTACCATTACTATATTATAAACAAAAGAATCATAATTTTTGAAATCTAGCAATATAGAAGACAAAGATGCACTTTTTGCACATATTCAAATTATGCATGTTAAAATAAAGCTTTCCTGTTGTTGGAGCTTGGAGTTTTGCTAGTGTGCAATCTTGTGTTCTTGAAGATGACACAGCCTTTTAAAATTTTTTGGTGGCTCTCTGGATGTTTTTTCCTGCCACTCACAGGACTGGAATTCTCGAATGCAATTTTTACAGTATAGCATCTAGTGCCTCAGTGTTAAAGATAAATGTGTAACTGCTTTGCTACCTAATACTCCTTGAAGTTTGTTTTGCTATTACAAAAAGCAAAGTAGGCAGAGCACCATCTACTGCTATAAAGGGTTCAGTATTCAGTTCTATTGGGGTGCCACTCACTGAATTAAGCATAAAATCCATTAATGCTTTCTTGTGTTTTCATTTGAATGAAATGCAAAACGATAGGAATAGCATTTACATATTTTATCAGTTTTTCACATGGTCTGTTTTTCTACCCACAATAAAAGCAATCTTACTTGTTACTAGTTCAGTTACCCAGAACATACTGATGTAATGGGTTACTATGGTGATAACTGGTCTCTTGAAGGATTGTAAATGATAGAGTTGACAGAGTTCATGAAAGCCACATGTTAAATGATTAATTTCTAGAAATTTGTATCAGCTTGTATTTCTTATGCACAAAGCACACCCAGAACACATTTAACTGACTTAAAGCTAGTCAATAATATGTTTATTTTACTTACTTTAAAAGAATCAGAGGATAAATAACTCTCAGTCTGCTCAGTCATTGGCTACTCCAGTGGTTTCCATAGCAACTCCTACTCTACCAGGGCAAGGGATGGGAGAATACCCATCAGCCATCTCAACAACATATGGTACTGCAAAGTATCAGTGCAAGATGTAAAAGGTGGGGGAGGGAACAAGATGCTGATAAATGTCTATCTCAGTAGTAATGAATTAGCTAGCGATTGCTGGGCCAAACTGAAAAATTCATAGTTGATATGCTTTCACACTTCATTTACTTATTCTGTATCTGTCACTGACTAGAGACATATCTATTTAAAAACTTTTTGTTTGAATGGAAAACTGCTTGGATAGCTTTCTTCTATTGGCTTTAATAAGAAATATAACTTAAAAGAGACTTCTTAATTCTCTTAATACAACAGATAATTTCACCTAGGTCTTGAATGCACCTTCCTAAAGTCATAAGGGTTGTGGGAGCAAGTGGTTTCACTGGTTTCAAATGGAGTTCAATAAGTTTGTGGGCTATTACATAGTTACCTAGAAGGGACTAAAAATGAAGCCCCAAGACATGCTTTCCAGTTCCCATGCACATTGCTACTGTATAGAACATGTTAGTATACATATCAGATGCTTTTAGAGAAGATATACATTGTTCAGACACAGGTTGCCTACTAGGTTCTGTGAGGAAGACCATAAATGAAATATTATGATGTTTTTCTAGTCTTTGGCTCTGTGAAAATGCATATATAGCTATGATGGACATACAGGCTAAGAATACTTTTGATGTTTCAGATACAGAAAAGCCCTGGTAAATTACAAAGTAATTATTAGTGCATTATTTGCTCCCAAATGAATGAGTTGACTGAAGAGTAGAGTTTGTTTTTTCTTGTGCAACTTAATATGATTGGTGTAATTAAAATTAAAAGGCGTATTAAGTGATGTGCAAATTATGATAATAGTTATTGTTTAATTCCTATCTCCTTAATTCTCTTTTAATTATTTTCTTTTCTGTTTTCAAATCTAGAATATTCTCTGAGTAGTGCAGATACATCATCTCTCTCTGGGTTTAATACAGCCAATGCTCTTCATCTGGGTTCTGTGACTAGCTGGCAACAGTAACACCTACATAATATACCACCATCTTCCCTCAGTCAATTGGGGTAAGCAGTGTTTATTTAATGTTCTACAGTGACTTCTATATCCCCAGTAGCCCCAAATCTGGAATATATCAAGATAACATCAGCAAATATTTACTGTGTATAACAGCTCCATTTCCAAAAACTGAAACTACATATTGCATTAAAAGCTTTTCAGGTAGCTAAAAAGAAATATTCTCTGTCCCTGACATTTTCTCAGTAGTAAAGATTACTGCTCATGTTTTGCTCTTTATTTCTTTAAATAGCATTTTATTTCACCACTAAAGACAAAACTAAACACTGTTGCTTTATTTTGCCCTTTACTACTTTTATTTGCTACTATATTTATTTGTTACTATAGCACAAACTTTTAAAAAACTTGAAAATTTTCTAATTATTTTTAATCAGTGACATAATGATTTGATTTTAGATTAAGCCTTAACCTTCTATAATAATCATATGCCCCCATCTGCTCAGCTGTGACATGCAAATTTCATTTCTTTCAAAATGTTTTATACAAGCAAGTAACATAATTAGGCCTGAGAACCCAGCAGCCCATAAAACGTTGTGATTTGCCTAGGAGGAGGAGGACAGCCCTTTAGTGGCTAATTTCAAAATATTTCTTCAAGACTGGTGAAGCATACTGAAAAATTATTTCAGTATTTTTTGAAGTGTGAAAATATACACAAGGAAATCACCTGAGTTATTGAAAAAGTAGTCTATTGGCTAATCCAAATTAAGTTCAAGAGTATGACTTTTCAAAAATCCTAGTATCTGCAGTTACTATTGAGTAAGATCCTAAGAATTCAACAACACTCCACACTTAACCTAAGGTCTGGCCAGACATGTTTGAATTTAAAAAGTTTTCATTGTAAAAGTACAAGCTGAAAGCAACTAGAGTATATTTGAGTATCACTTTAATTCACAAGCATTAGAATATTAAACAAATTTTTTTCAGAAAGAGGTATTGTGCACGTGCACTAATTTTTTTACAAGACAGTTGCTATAATCTGAAAGTATTTAATGCAATAAAACTTCAGAACTTTCCTTCTAATTTTTCTGACACACTTTGTAACTTACTGTAAGTTCATTACCATGTACAAATGGTTTGGGTTTTTTAAAGGACAGGTATAAAAATTTTTTAGAGGACACATGCAATTTTTGAACCCCACTTCTATATAAATAAGCATATATGATGAGGGGAGAGCAGTGGACATTGTCTACCTCGACTTCATCAAGGCTTTTGACGCTGTAACCTTTAACATCCTCATAGGTAAGCTTAGGAAGTGTGGGTTAGATGAGTGGACAGTGAGGTGGATTGAAAACTGGCTGAATGGCAGAGCTCAGAGGGTTGTGATCAGCAGCGCAGAGTCTAGTTGGAGGCCTGTAACTAGAGGCGTTCCCCAGGGATAAGTACTGGGTCCAGTCCTGTTCATCAATGAACTGGATGAGGGGACAGAGTGTACCCTCAGCAAGTTTGCTGATGACACAAAACTGGGAGGAGTGGCTGACACACCAGAAGGCTGTGCCGCCATACAGCAAGACCTGGACAGGCTGGAGAGCTGGGCGGAGAGGAACCTAATGAAGTTCAACAAGGACAAGTGTGGGGTCTTGCACCTAGGGAGGAATAACCCTATCCACCGGTATGGGTTAGGGGTTGACCTGCTGGAGAGCAGCTCTGTGGAAAGGGACCTGGGAGTCCTGGTGGACAGCAAGTTGACCATGAGCTAGCAATGTACCCTTGTGGCCAAGAAGGCCTATGGCATCCTGGTGTGCATTCAAAAGAGCATGGCCAGCAGGTCGAGGGAGGTTTTCCTCCCCCTCTACTCTGCCCTGGTGAGGCCGCATCTGGAGTACTGTGTCCAGATCTGGGCTCCCCAGTTCAAGAAGGACAGGGAACTGCTGGAGAGGGTCCAGCAAAGGGCTACAAAGATGGTTAGGGGACTGGAGCACCTCTCTTATGAAGAAAGACTGAGGGACTTGGGTCTTTTTAGTCTAGAGAAAAGACGACTGAGAGGGGATCTTATTAATGCTTATAACTACTTAAAGGGAGGGTGCCAGGGGGATGGGAACAGTCTTTTTTCAATGGTGCCCTGTGATACAACAAGAGGTAATGGGCACAAACTTGAACATAGGAAGTTCCATCTAAACATGAGGAGGAACTTCTTTAGTTTGAGGGTGGCAGGTCTCTCAAGGACTGGCCCAAACAGTGAAGACAGAAGCAAAGAAGGCATTCAGCAACTCCACCTTCTCTGCATCATCTGTCACCACAGCACCTGTCTTGTTCAACAGCGGGCCCACATTTTCCCTGGTTTTTCTTTTGCCTCCTCTATATTTAAAGAAACCCTTCCTATTGGCCTTGATATCCCTTGCTAGATTCAATTCCAAGGTTGCCTTGGCTTTCCTTGTTTTGTTCCTGCATACCCTGCCAGCATTCTTATACTCTTCCCAAGCGGTCAGCCCAACTTGGCCTTAATAGTTAACAAAAGCAAAAAATTATGTATTTGCCAACAAAAGTCCAACATTTGCTACAGTGAGGGATATTAATCACTAACTCTGTGGCTTATGAAAGGGTTTGCTGCAAATTTTGACAAACTTGTCACTATAGGAAAGAGGGGTAAGAAAGTGTCCTAGTTTGAGGTAAAACAGGACCAGTTTCATTCAGTAACTTTGCTTCTTAGCTGGGCCTCTCTAACTACTGAAATTAACAGCATATTGGGCAGACAATGTTCACTCTCTCAGACCTATGTTTATAGTTGATGCCAAGGCATGGTATGCAGAGAGGCTCTTGCTTATACTTATTGCTATAACAACCAAGGCCAACCAACTTTATTTGCCCTGTTGGAAGGTTGGAAGCAGAAAAGCATAGTGGGGTCCCACCTGTGGGGAGAAGCAGACAGGACAGGTGACCCAAAACTGACCAACAGGGTATTCCATCCCATCTGCCTCATGCTCAGTATAAAAGCTGAGGGATCAAAGGGTCAGCCCTCTTTCTGCAATGGCCGGCTTCCAAGGAGGACTCTGTCTGTTCATCTGCCTTTGATCCCAATCCTGAATCCAGATCTGGAATCCAGTTCCTGTCCGTCACTCCTGTCAGTCTGGGACTTCCCTAGTGGCAGCTGGTGACCTGATCATCATCCTGGGAGCCTGATACGCTTTTGTATAGATTTTATTATTTTATTTTTATTTTATTATTGATATTTCCTTGAAGTGTTTAGTTCCTTCTAACCTCATAAGTCTCTTTTTCCTCCTCTGCCCCTCTCTTTGAAGAGAGGTAGAGGGGAGCATCTGTCGGTCCCATCTGGGGTCCCCCAGGTCCCCAGTAGCCGATTTGGCTTAAACCACAACAGAAAGCAATTGGAGATAGAGCATCTTGTTTTCTCCATCATCTAACAAGATTAATCTGTTATTTTACATGGCAATAAGTAGTGATAAAAACAGTTGGTATCATTCAATAATGAAGCCATATAGTTTCAAGTATAAATGTGTAAAGAATCCAAAAAACATTTTGCCTTTTGTCGAGGATTGAGTCAGACTGGGCACTGAAACGAACGACAGATGCTCTCTGACCTCTCTCCCTTCAGAGAAGTGAGAGGATCTCCCTTCAGGGACAGGAGGGAGAGAGAGAGACTTATGAGTTTAAAAGAAATCTGAAGTACTTTAATGAAATATTAATAATAAAAAGAAAAGATAATATTATAAAAATAAAATAATTAAATATGTACAATATATACAAAACCAGTATCAAGCTCCCAGGATGATAATCACGTTACCAGCAGGCACTGGGAAATTCCCAGACTGGACTCAGCGATGAGCGGGAGCTGGATTCCAGATCTGGATTCAGGAACACATGGATCAGGATCAAAAGCAGATGAACAGAGAGAGTCCTCCTCAGATGCCGGCCACTGAAGAAAGAGGGCTGATCCTTTGATCCGTCAGCTTTTATCCTGAGCATGAGGCAGATGGGATGGGAGTTGGTCAGTTCTGGGTCAACTGTCCTGTCTGCTCCTCTCCGCAGGTGTGACCCTTCTATGCTTTTCCACTTCCAACCCTCCAATGGAGCAAATAACAAAGTTAGCTGCCTTGGGTGTTATAGCAGTAAGTATAAGCAAGAGCCTCTCTGCATACCATTCCTTGGCATCAACTATAAACATTGGTCTTATCACTCTGAGCACGAACATTGTCTGCACAATATGCTGTTAATTTCAGTAGTTAAAAGAGGCCCAGTTAAGAAGCAAAGTTACTGAATAAAATTGGTCCTGTTTTACCTCAAACCAGGACACTGTTTATAGAAGAGGCTTAGATAAAAAGTAAAATTACTGAACAGAAAATTGGGGGTGTTCTACCTCACACCAAGACACCTTTCATGAAAGTTATAGTAGATGTTGCCCAAGTAAAGCTCAACTCCAGCAATGAGATATCAGAAAAAGTGGAATATTTCAATAAATGGAAATGACCACGTCTAAACTTACCAATTTCTCCTACATGTTTAAAATATAATTCCAAATAGTCTTCACCATCTACCCCCCAGCAGTGGCCAGTGCCTCCACCCAGACAGAGCTGCTGAAGGGAGACATTGCAGTGCAGACTTCAGACAGCAGGAGGTGCCTAGACCTTTATCCTGGGGCAGGAATAGGCAGCACACCTGCCTGCAAAAAGTGTACTCAGGTGGAAGACATCCGGCAGCAGGTGACTGAGCTGCAGGAAGCAGTGAGGAGGCTGTGTAGCATCATGGAGGCTGAGAAGGAGATGGATTGCTGGTTCCAAGTGCAGTCTGCAGTGGACCCACAGCCCACGACCAAACAGTCAAAAACTCCCCCACCGGCACACAAGAGAGGGGGGCCAGTAACACAGAAGACTGGAGGCTTGTGACAGCAAGGACCAACAGGAGGAAAAGACTTACCCCAAAGCCTGAGGTGCCCTTGCAGAACCACTTCACTGCTCTGCAGACTGAAGAGGGAAGACCAACTGCATCAGGAGAGATGCTGGAACTGATGAAGGCAACCCGATCTGCTCCCCAGTGC